GGCGATGTCATTTTGACCACCGAGTCAAAACGGGTCGCTGTTTTCTCTTTCCTCCCTTGGAATAAATAAGCATTGTGTGGACAGACACATGAAGGCCGTATCCTACCCACCAAAACTTCCTCCGAGGCTGGGCGTCCACTGACGGTTCTTGCTTTGGAGGTCTTGCAAATGGACGATTTCCTGAGTCCAACACTCTCAGCATCGAGCAGTCAGAAATGGGATTCTTCCCACCTGTCGTTCCTGTCCTCCACACTTCCTCCCTCCCGCCTTCCCTCCCTCCCTTCCTCTTTCTCTCTTGATGCTTTAAAACTCATCACTGGACTTAATATTTTGGTGCTTACATTCTTCCAGACGTGGCCAGTGAGAGCCTCTTTGATCTTCCTTGTGACGTGCGCATTTTTCGAAAGCACTTCCTTCCTTTCTGGCATAGGACATCCCAGGCCCGTGTTGTACATATCGTGCTCGACTGCTGGGTGTTTATCCAAAGGAAGCAAAAACACGAACCGAGAAAGATACCGGCACCTCCCATGTGCACTGCAGCATCATTTACAGTGCCCAAGACACGGAAACAAACCTCAGTGTCCTTTGACGGATAAATGAGTAAAGGAAACGTGTAAGCTATGTTGCATTGAAAATTTTCTGTCTGCATGTTTTTGCTGCTCGTACACAGGAATGCAGTTGAATTCTGTGTGTTGATCTTGTATCTGGAGACCTTACTGAACTCCCTTGTTGGCTGTAGGAATATTTTGGTTTTGGTTTTTGGATATCATTTAGGATTCTCTTCATAGACCATCGTGACCCCCACAGACTGAGACGGTTTTATGCCTTCTTTGCTGATATGTATGCCTTTTCTTGCCTATTTCACTGGCTAGAACTTTCAGTACACTGTTGAATAAGAGTAGTGAGCCCAGACATCCTGACTAGTTTCTAATTTTAGGAGCAAAGAATTCATTGTTCTACCATCAAATATAATGTTAGCTGTAATGTGTGTGTGTGTGTGTGTGTGTGTGTGTGTGTGTGTGTATTATTTTCAAGTTCAGGAAATTCCCCTCCATTCCTAGTTTTCGGAGGGTTTTAATCATGAACAAATATTGAATTTTCTCAAGTACTCTTTTCTTTTTCTTTATTTTTGAGAGGGACGGAGGGAGAGAGAGAGAGAGAGAGAGCATGAGCAGGGGAGGGGCAGAGAGAGAGAGAGGGAGTCACAGAATCTGTGAGCTGTCAGCACAGAGCCCAACGTGGGGCTTGAATTCACGAACCATGAGATCGTGACTTGAGCTGAAGTCGGACACTTAACCCACTGAGCCACCTGGGCGCCCCTCTCAAATGCTTTCAGCATCAATTTATATGACCATGTGATTTTTTTTTCTTTATTAGCCTGTTAATATGGTGGATGACATCAGTTGGTTTTCAAATATGAAACCCGTCTCGGATCCCTGGAATAAACCCCACTTGGTGCTGGGGTACAATTCTTTCTACGTATTTCTAAAGTCTATTTGTGACTATTTTGTTAAGAATTCTTGTGTCTGTATTCCTGTGGAGATATGGTCTGTAACTTCCTTTCTTTGTACTGTCTTTGTTTGGTTTTGGTATCAGGGTAATATTGGCCTTGTAAAATGGATACAGAAGTATTTCTCCTTTTTCTGTATTCTGGAAGAGATTGCATAAAATTGGTGCTGATTCTTTAAAGAGTTGGTAGAACCCTCATGCAAAACTCTCTGGGCCTGGAGATTTCTTTTTTCCTGGATTTTAAATTACAAAATCAGGGACGCCTGGGTGGCTCAGTTGGTTAAGTGTCTGGCTTTGGCTCAGGTTATGATCTCATGGTTTACGAGTTCGAGCCCCGCATTGGGCTCTGTGTTGACAGCTCAGAGCCTGGAGCCTGCTTTGGATTCTGGGTCTCCCTTTCTCTCTGCGCCTCCCCTGCTCATGCTGGCTCTCTCTCTCTCTCTCTCTCTCTCTCTCTCTCAAAAATAAAGAGACATTTAAAACGTTTTTTTTTTTTTTAATTATAAAATCCACTTCCTTAACTGTTATAGGGCTATTCAAATAATCTGTTTCACACTGGGTTAGTGATGGTACTTTGTGATCTTCAAGGAACTGGTTCATTTTCTCTACATGGTTAAATTTATGGCTGTAGGCCTGTTTGTCCTGTTCCCTTATCACCCCACTGTTGGTAGCAGGGCCTAATGATGTTTACTGTTTCTTCCCCAACACTGGTGATTGTCTGATAAATTAGTAATCCGAAGGCTCCCTCTTTATTAGTAATGGTAGAGGTTAATCAATTTTATTGATCATTTGATAGGACCAGCTTTTTGTTTCATTGACCTTCTCTGTGGTTCAGTTTCATTGATTTGTGCTCTTTCTTATTTTCTTTCTTCTGCTTGATTTGGGTTTAATTTATTCTTTTTCTAATTTCTTGAGGCGGGAACTTAGATTGTTGAAGACTTTCCCTCTCGCCTGAAGTCAGCATTTTTGTGCTATCAGTTTCCCTCTCAGCATTGCTCCCACAACTTTGACGTGCAGTATTTTCATTCTCATGCAGTTCAACGTATTTCTTGTTTTTCTCCGAGACTCCCTCTTTGGCCCGTGGCTTATTTATAATGTGCTGTTCAGTCTCCAAATGTTTGGAGAGTCTGCTATTATCTTTCTGTTAGTTATTTCCAGTTTGAGTCTATTGTGGTCACACTGTATGATTTCCATTTTTTTAAAAAGTTTGTTGAGTTCCGTTTTATGGCCCAGGATATGGCTTATCTTGGTATATGTTCCATGAATGGTTGAAAAGAATGTACGGGGCGCCTGGGTGGCTCAGTCGGTTAAGCGTCCGACTTCGGCTGAGGTCATGATCTCACGGTTTGTGAGTTGGAGCCCCGCGTCGGGCTGTGTGCTGACAGCTCAGAGCCTGGAGCCTGCTTCGGATTCTGTGTCTCGCTCTCTCTCGGCCCCTCCCCCACTTGCATGCACACTGTCTCTCTCAAAAATAAATAAATAAATATTAAAAAAAATACAGTCTTCATTGTAAATCAAGACCCTTTCCAGTTTACCCTTTTATAAACTGTGTGGCACCAGATATCTTTATAGCTAATTTCTTTGCACATGGTGATGATAATTTCATTAGGAATAATTATAAAAAGTGGAACCACTAGGGCGAAAGGTATACCTGCTTCACAGCTTTTGATCTGTATTGCCAAACTCTCTTCAAAGAAGATCTTTACTAATTTATAATCTAGTCTTCACCCGGCCTCTGCAGTCGGTCCTTAGAGTAGCCCATGATTACCTGAAATTAGAGGCAAACGTGTGCATGGGTGTGTTTTCTGGGGAGAGGACCTGGGATCCACTCTTCAGGGGAGTGGGTGAGGGCTTGTTGGATATGTGTGTGTGAGTGTGTGTGTGTGTGTGTGTGTGTGTTCCCATTAGAGGTGAGGCTGGCGCCAGATGTGCTCACTTTGGAACCAGCAAAGCCAGCAGTGGGTGTTTCCAAGGCCCCAGGGAGGCATTTCCTGCCACTGATAATTCCCGGGGCTCCAGATCCCTTTCAGCCCTATCACCCTCAGTTTCTCTTCTCTCCTCCCCAGAAAAGGCCGCCAACCCCGGTGGCAGCCCTGTCTCCCGTGGAGCACGTGGCCTCCTTGAATTTGACATGTGTCTCCCCAAAACAAGGAGGTGACGATCTGGTGGTTTCTGGATGTCGAGGTGATTCGGGGAGGGGAGGGGCCGGTGATGTCAGCGGATGGCGGGGCCTCGCATTCCCACAGTCGCACGCCATGACTCTGGCACCCACCACTGGGAGACCAGGAGGCACCTGGGAGCCAGACCCCAGGAGGGCCTTGTGCTGATGTGGCCTGCGAGTATGGGTTTCCCCGCCCCATAACAGACCCACCTCTGCAACACAGGGTACCCCCCTCCCTACCGCCCACTGGCCCATCCACCATTTATAGCCCAGAACAGGGGCCGTGTAGATGGAGCAAGGGCTCTCCAGACTGGCTGGATTCAAATCCACGCTCTGCTCTTTCTGAGCTGGTGACCTTGGGCAAGCTACGTCACCTTTCCGTGCCTCAGTGTCCTCATCAGAAAGGTGGAAGTCACAGTAGTGTCTACCTCCATGGGTCCTTGTGAGGAGCAGAGTCGGTTCACGTAAGGACTTAGAACAAAGCCTGGCACGTAAGTACTCCTCTGTCACAGGTTCGTTCACCAGGTATTTATTTAAGAGGCACTTGCGGAGCCTTTATTATGTAACAAATTAGGGACTTTCAGACTCGTCCTACCTAAAGTTCGAGGTCAGATGTAGACCACAGGATTCCAATCTCCCAGAAATTCCAGTCCTTAGAACACAGATGTTTGCAGAACTGAAAGGACTCGAAGATACCCTTCCTTCCACAAACAACAAAACCGAGGTCAAGAACGGGGAGGGGCTCAGCCGAGATCTCACAGCGTTAGGAGTAAAGGCAGGAACTTGAACCCAGGTTTCTCCCCCTCCTTCCCCTCCTCCTCTCTTCAACGATAAGAGCTCCCGCTCTATGCTGAACGTTAGCCCAGGCAATGCAGCGGACATAACAGACAAGCATCTGTTCTCACGGAGCTGAAGTCTCGCTAGGGGCAGTGAGGGACGCAGACACCACAGTGAAGGGGTGGTTGCAATAGTTCATTCATTCATTCATTCATTCATGGGGCAGACTCCCAGGTTATGTGACTGCACGCCACCCTCAATGTGTGGAACTTTCATCCCTGAACTAAATGCCCAGTCTGGTGGGAATCGTGGTCCTTGTTTTCCATACTTTTCCCAACTAGGATGTTTTTCTCTCGGTCCAGGTGGCCCTGACACTCCACCATGACCTCACCAGACCCAACTTCACCCAAGTGATTGGTTCCAACGTCCCCCTACTCTGCTTGGCTGACTCCCAGCCCCCTGCCCGGTACATACGGAGCATCAGTGGGATCCCCGGGCCTGATGGCCGGACCCTCTTCATTTCCAGTCTCTCCAGGGTCTCGGAGGTCTATACCTGCAGGGCCTCAAACTCCATTTCCAGCTCACACAGCAGCGTGGACGCCGACATCACCGTCTCAGGTATTGCTCTGTGGGCTGAATGTGTGTGTCCCCCGCAAATTCATAGGTTGAAATCCCAGCTCCCAGAGTGATGGTGTTGGGAGGTGGGGCCTTTCGGAGGTGATGAGGTCACGAGGACAGAGCCTCCTGAATGGGATCAGAGGCTCCAGAGGGAACCCAAGCTCCTTCCACCGTGTGAGGACACGGTGAGAACCAGGAAGAGGGCCCTCACTAGAACCTGACCACGCTGCACCCGCCAGAACCATGAGATAAAAATTTCTGTTGTTTATAATCTTCCCGGTATGTGTTTTGCTATAGCAGCTGAAACAGACCAAGACGGATGTACAGCTAGGGTTGAGGCTGATTGGTTGGAGGTGAAATGCCCAAAACTTAAGAAAGAAAAAGACATCAAGAGAAAAAGATCATTCCAATAAATAAAGTCCCTGGGACTTTATTGTTGGAGTTTGGTTCTATTTTCTTCTTGGGATTCTTTTCTTGGCTCTTC